TTTTTGTGCTATATTCTCTATTTCTCCTCCATGAATTAGAAGACTAGGTGGAAACACTATTTGTGAGGAGCAGGCACAGGAGTCCAAGGAATAACCCACCCTGCTTGAAATCCCCATAGGTTGCACCCTACAGAACAAGGCACAGTCTGTGAGGTACCTCAAAAAAAACCCTTTTTTAAATGGTGGTTTGCTGATGAAATTGCAGGACAAGCCACTCGCTAGCACTATAAAGAGTTACATTTAACTTGCGTTGATTCCCTAAAAGGATCCAGTTTAGCATCAGGGCAATAAATGGTTGCCCCATAGCACTTTCAAATATGTGGAAATCCTTTTTAAGTAAATATTCATTTAGAAAATCCATTTGAAACTGTTAAACTAATATTGTACAGCACTATCCAACAAATGTTGACAGTATTTTTTTCAAAGGGGAACAGTTAGTAGTACCTGTCCTAAAAATATTTGTAGGGAGAGCAGTTGCTGATACCTGGCCATGTTCTGAGGTGGCAGCCATAAAACCCCTTTGGAAGTACTCTAGAATATAGAATTAAAGAATTTTCTTGCATTATCCTCAGGTGCAATATTTGATGTCTGTAGAGTAGTCATCTTACTGTGGCACCTCCAGGTACATCCAATTACAACTCCTGTCATCCTCAGCCTGCGTGGCTACCTGAGGATATGTAGCTGCACATGAACACCACTTTGGACTTGGTGAGTTTGTATTTCTGTGAAGTATGTGTGAGGGGCCATAGCTTCACAGTTGAGCAGCTGTGTACACAGAAGGTCTCAGGTTCAAACTGCAGCATCTCTGGACAGAACAGAAAAAGCTTCTATCTAAAACCTTAGGCAGCCACTATTGACATTGAAAATAGTGGACCAGATAGTCTGAATTACAGGTAGTCCCCCAAACAATCTGTACTTATGAACATTCAGACTGCCATAAACCCTATATGAGTATCTCTAGAAAAAAGCTGTGAATATCTCTAGGGTACTATGCACGTGTTTGGTGACGCATCATCATAGGCTGCATAGTTCCCTAGAGATACAGTGCTAACTGTACAGGCTTAGCTTGTCCCAAGATGTTCCCCACTGCCTAACAAATCTGAACCAATCCTCTGCACATCACCATCTCATCCTCATATTGAGACTCCTCAGCTGTCCCTATGTAGTTGATCCTGTGTGCAGAACAGGTAGTACTTCAGAAAAAGCCACCTTGGTGGTCCTAGATTTCAAACTTTTACTTGGAAACATAAATGTGGTTTCCAAGACTACATTTATAACTACATTTCGCAACATCATTGGTACCAACATAGACCATGACCACTGATTCCATACAAGCAGTATCTGCCAGACTATTTAGATGGCATGTGATACCTACATCAATCACAAACTCAGCTATGTGTCTACTGACTGAATCTCCACCCCCCAGTGCATCCTCACGGAAAAGGATAAATGCTTATGTTCCAAGGAATGGAGGCTTTCTAAGTGATCATTTCCCTTTTCCTCAGATTGATGCCTTCCTTCCCTAGTAGCCCCATTTTCCATGACATAAGAGGAGCTGTCACCCAGTTATATCGAGCCTGCGGTGTAGCCCCTTAGAATCTTGTCTGCCAACTTCTTCACCCCTCTTTGCTTCTTCAGGTCAGCAACCTTGTCCTCAAGAGAATGAACTTGTTCCCTCAGAAGCAGGAGCTCATTATACAGAGCACATCCCCCTTGACTCCTATCCAGTTGGCAGATAATTGTACATGTGGTGCTGCATAGCTTCCATACCTTTGCTCACTTTCTATCTTCATAACTGGGTTTAATTTGTATTATCTGGTTTCTGTATCTGGGAATCCTAGTTTTATTTGTTTGTTTTACTGTAGTGGATTTACTTGTAGTTATTAGTTTATAGTTTATACTTACTGGTTATGAGAAGGAAGGACAGTTTTCTACCCTGGCCTCCTTAGCTGTTTTCTGAAATGGCAAGGTTGCTTAACTCACTTGGGCTGATCTTTTGTCACTCAGGTTGAGACGATTTTGCCAGTGGGGCTCCTTGAACTCAGAGAATATGTATAAAGCATAATGTTTTCACAGTTGAAAGAAGCTTTCACTGAACTTTGATTCCAGTAGATATCAACTGCTTATTCACAAGGCATGTCCTAAGACATTTTTGTAAATGAATGAGTTATGTAGGTATAGATGCAGTTACATTAAGGACTTGGCCCATTATGTATTGTTTCATCAATTATATGACTCTATCATAATGAAATTTCTATTTTATTCTGTGTCTAATTGTACCAGGTGAGCAATGCATGGGATAGTGGCATAGTTGCTTTTAGATGGGTACATGTTTATATCCCTCCCAGTTGCATTATTTCCAACAACAATTAAGAACATTGAGCAAATACCTTGAAAAACATGTTAACAAGTTGCAAAGGTGATCCAGTAATCTACGTAAACAAAGTCAAAAGTAATTACAAAATTGTTTTGAATTGATACTTTAGCTATGCATTTTTATGTTAAATAAGCTTTGGGAAACTTCATGTTGCTTCAGGTTTTTACTTACTTTGCATTGTTTGTCTGTAGCTGTAAACAATAAAAGTTCATTCTATCAAAATGGTTAACACAGTAAAATTTTTAAAAAAATCAAATTCAAATGCATAGATGAAAATGATCTCCCCATCTCAGTCCTGCAGCATACCAGCATTATGGAATAGCAAAAAACAAAAAAAACAAGATATGATGAAATTATTTCTTTTGATTTTGTTGACTTTTACTCCTAAAATGCATTAACTTTTATGGGTGTTTTGGTTTGTTTTGAGAAGCAAATACTGCTCTCTTTTTGGTGCGGTAAAATAGGAAACCTTATAATAAATATGAAGAGAACAAATTTTGTATTTTGCTGTTATCTGAACATATTACTGATATCAGTAATACATTGTTGCAGTTTAGTTGTGTCCTGTTGAAAAATTGTAGTGTGTTTTATTAAACTATTAGGCAAATATTATGAATGTACTTGCTTAAAATATTAAGAGTTTTTTGCTATCTGTTTTATAGAATAAAGATTCCTAAAATCACAGAGAGAGGATCAGAGGGATCCTTGATGGGTAATCAATCCCAACCTGTTTCCAGAAAGTAGGAATTTTTCGTAAAGATAGTTTTGCAAGAAGAATATTTAGTTTCATCTCCAGTGATGGCTATCCTTAGAGATACAGCTGGACATTACATTATGAAAGGTCCACAAGTTAATTCTGTGGTGGAATCCATCTAAACGAATAGTTGCTAACCTACTCTGAGTAATTGTCCTGAATTCAAGATTCTACCACTGTTACATTGCTCTATGACCACATGGTTAGAATGTTCTGCATATGCTATTTTTGGTTGGTGATAGGAAGTTGTTACACACATCTTAAACATCCTGGGCAAAAAGCAGCCACAAAAGAATGTACTGCCATTCTCCAGTACGCTTGTCTTACCCAGCTGTATACTGCCTTCCACATTGGATAATTCAATATACTGTATATCCTAAGTAGAAAACTGAGGGAAGACTTTGTTATCCAGCACAGTTTAAACACACATGCAATTCCCTGTATTGCAAGAGAAGAAACCAGAGATATGAGAGATAATGAGCAGCACATGACTCCTGCTTTGAGCTTTTGGTATCCCCCTGCCTTTTCTTACTTCTGTTGGACAGCATTCCTGCTGGGCATTTGTAGTTCTGAGACAGAACAGTTGTAAGTCTTCTGAGAAGACAAGTGTTAGCAGTCTGCTCTTTTGATATTCATTCTGAGTCTGACCCATTGGTGTGAGTGTCTTTATACCATGGTTCTCATCACTGAGGCTTCCCCTTATTTGTTGTAAGTATGTGCAATATAACAGACTGCACTGCCTGCTCTTATCTGACCCATTGCCTTTTGGTCAGGAGTTTATATACTGGCCTTAGTGTTCTGTGAATGACTGCAGTTAGTTGGAATCTTATTCTATGCTGCAGCAGTGCAGCAAGAGGTGGGGTAGTGTTTCCTAATTGAATTCTGTGGAGGTGTTTAACTTGCAGCAGCCCTTTTACACTGGAATAGGGCCATGCCTGGAATCTGAGGAAGCTTAACATTCAGTTCTTTTTGTGATGGCCCAATTTTGGCCCTCTGTTGCTGTAAAGTTATGCCTTTTAAGGTACAGTTGTACAGGAAATTATACTGAATCCTGAAGTTTTTCAGCAGGCGTTTCTGTACCTTAGAATTCTGCTGTTAATCTTACTAGGGTGAAATATTTAACATTTGGAAAGACCAGATCACCTAGATTTTGCACTTTATTTGTGGCACCTATTACATTGTAAAAATATTTACCTGTACTTTTCCACATCCTAAATTATGTGACAAGGGCACATTATTCTGGTTCCTCTTGTTATTCGGAATATCTAGCCATCAGCATCATTGAGCAGCAAATATCAATATTTGTAGTGAAATCTATTTACGGTATCATTATTAGAAAAAGACAAAAATTCCATCTAATACTTGACTTGGGAGTTTCAGTTTTGTAATCAGTTGCATTATTTATAAATATACAGTTTATGCATATCAGGAAATTGAGACTATATTTGTTGGAGTATAATTTCTCTGTCCTGGATGTTTACTTGCTGCTTGCATGAACCTTTTCATCTTCTATGAAAGACTGATTTCTCATGGTAAGCAACTACAAGCTATTTAGTTTCTTTCTTGCAGCACATGTAAAATGTCCCAGATATGCAGCACATGTAAAATCAGATTAGTGCGTAATTTAAATTGTCACTATCCTTCATGTCAAGATGATAGAATGTGCCTTCAGTATTTAAAAAAGGAAAACAATTTCTGTTTCTTGATTCCCATGGCTTAACCTTTCAGTATAACAGAAAAAAAACCTACTTAGCTTTTGAAAAAACATTCTTTTTCATTGATACTGACATGAAATATACATATTTTAGATTGCCCTCTTGTATTATATTTTAGGGTTTTCAATTGTGTCAATTTTTTTCTTTATGCTAGACGGTTGGAGCAAAATTCAATAAAGGCCATCCCCCCTGGAGCTTTCTCACCTTATAAAAAGCTTAGAAGAATGTGAGTAAGAAATATTTTGGAATTTATATAGAAACATTTGAAGGAGGGCAAAAAAAAAAAAAAGGTCGTTGTTTATACGAAACACCTTCCATCAGAGTGTGAGCACTTAAGAGTGTCTGACAGCTGACATACTAACTGATAGGGCTGTGACTGATTGTTGGGTCTTTGTAGCTCCTTTGCCATGTTTATAACTGACAGTTATGGCAACTTATTAATATGAATTCACCTGAGTATGTAACTTGGGCAGTTGGCAAAAATAATCCTTTAAAAATCTAAAATCTAAAAGTGTTGCAATTCAGTATCATTGATACTGTAACATGCAATGCCTGTACTAATCTAATTTCCTCCACTCCAAATACATAAAATGAAGTAAAGTTTCAAATTATTACCAAAATGTATGCCTTTGCTTCTAGGCAATGTAGTATATTGAACTGTGTATGTGTTTAATAATATGAAAAGCTAATTAGTTGACTTTTGTGATTAAATTCATTAACTGTGCCTGATGAGGTTGGAATAAATATTTATCGTTTTCAACTATGATGAGCCCAACAATTTTATGTGTACACTTGAATCAGTGAAATATAATCTTGTTTTTCATTTTAGTGATCTGAGCAATAATCAGATCTCAGAGGCAGCACCAGATGCTTTCCAGGGTTTGCGCTCACTAAATTCACTGTAAGTATCAGTATCGTCTCTTGGAAGAAATGCAAAATTCCCAGAATTTAAACTATTCAGGTGGAGACCAGTTTCCATGTAATTGGATACCTACTTATAACCCAGTTGGCATGACATTATGAAACAATTTCAGTGTATCTGAACTCACTAAGTAAAGCCCTCGGTTTAGAAAGGTCCATTTCATTCTGGTTAGCATTCCCAAGTAGCCACAATAGGACATTCATTCATTCATTCATTCATTCATTCATTCATTTATTTATTTAAGCTAATTATTACTAATAAATAAAAAATGTCCTGTGTGTCAGAGCTGTTCTCTCCCTCTTTCCAGGCAATAGTGTTCTAATTAAAAGACGTGATTATGTTAATACTGATTGGCCAATTTTGCTGTAAACTACAAAATGAAGAGCATTGCAGAAAATAACAAAAGAAGCAAGTGAAGTTAGAATACTAAACATCAGAGGAAAGTGATGTAATGATAAGAAATTGCTCCAGACCAAATACAGTACCTCTTCTCCTTTCTAAGCTGACATCAGCAAAGCATACCTTCTGGTGGATCCTCCTGCTTAAGAGCTAATTGTATTATCTGATGCGTCTCAGCTGGTCTGCCCAGTTTGCCTGTACTCTGGGTTCTCTCATGCTCTGCCCTTCTTTTGAATAGCATGCTCAATTAATGCTTCCACTGACTGCGAAAATCGACTGATTTACCTGCCTTATATCTGAATTCTCTTCCCTTGACTTCTCAGCTATAGATTACAGCTCATCCTCTTCTGACTCAAAATCTGTCCCCACATCACTTGAAGGCAATCTTGTAATGTGGATGGATCCAATCCTACATTACCAAAATTGTTCAAGGCTTCTAACAATAATCAAATATGGATTAGAGCAAACTCTTGGCTCAAACATGATCCAAAAAATTAAAAACACTACAATAAAATAAATAGAATTAAAAACTTTATCAGCAAGAAACTAGCATATATGCCAGAAGCCTGCCTGAATCTTTTTGCCTGGCAATGCAAAGACAACAAAAAGGAAGTCAACTAACTTTCCTTGTTAGGAAGTTTTAAAGCTGGTGAGCAGCTATCAAAAAGGCAGTTTCTGCCTCCCCCAGAGAAAAGGACTTCCCCAGAAGATGTTAAATCCTAGGCAGGTTTGTATGGGAGAATATAGACTTGTATATTTTAAAAACAGATTAAAAATAACATCTACAACAAACCTATGGGGACAAATAGTAACTGTTATTTTGATATATAGTGGGATTGTTCACAGGGCACACATTTATAAGCCATGATGAAATGTAGTGCCTGCATTCAACCCTTGACCCTCTGTTGTCGTATTGTGCAAACTTGACCAGCAGAGACTATGTAAAGTTTGTTGTTGTGTGCTGTCAAACTGCCTCCAAATTATGGCAAACCTATGAATGAAAGCGTAAAATGTACTGTCCATGACAGCTCCATTCAGGTATTCCAAGTTCAAGGCTGTGACTTCCTTTACAGATTCAACCTGTTTTCCCTGTTGTCTTCTGCCTTCAACTTTCCCTAACATGAGGGTGCCTTGCATGTTCATGATGTGTCCAAAGTATGACAGCCTCAGTTTTGTCATTTTCGCTTCCAGGGAAAGTTCTGCCTTCATTTGATGTAGGGGCTGCTTATTCATGTTTCTTTTGGTCTAGGGTTTTCACAAAGATCTCCTCCAGCATCGTATTTTGAACACCTAAATTTTCTTCCTGTCAACTTTTTTCACTGTCCAGCTTTCATACCCATACATTGTGATTGGGAATACAATAGTTTGAATGATCTTGACCTTGGATTCTAGTGAAACGCCCTTAAACTTGATTATCTTTTCTAGTACCTTCATTGTTCATTGCCCTTCCAAGTCTAAATCTTCTAATTTCTTGGCTTCAATCTCCCTTTGAATTGATGACTAAACTGATCTGTATGAAATCTTTCACATTTGCAATTTCTTCATTATTAACAGTAAAGATGTGTAATACCTCTGTGGATATAATTTTATTCTTCTTAAGATTCAGCTGTTGTTCTGCTTTTTCTTCTTTCACTTTCATCAAGAGTAATTTCAAAATATTGCTGCTTTCTGCTAGTAGTACAATGCTATCTGCATATCTTAAATCAGTTACGTTTCTTTTACCAATTTTCACTCCTTCCTCTGATTCTAATTCAGTTTTCTTTATGATATGTTCTGCACAGAGATTGAACACACAGGGAGCTAAAATACATTCTTGTTTGACACCTTTTCTTATGGGAAACCATTCTGTTTGTATTCTGCCCTAGCTGTAGCTTATTGTCCATAGTATGGGTTACTCATCAGAACAATCAAGTGCAGAAGCACACCCATTTCTTTCAGGACCATCCGTAGCTTCGTGTGATCCACACAGTCAAAGGCTTGGCTCTAGTCTATAAAGCGTAGACCGATCTTTTCCTGAAATTCTTTGGTGCACTCCAGTAGCCAATGTATATTTGCAATATGATCTCAAGTGCCTCTTCCTTTTTTGGAATCCAGCTTGGACATCTGGCAAATCTTGCTCAATATAGCATACTATTCTTTGCTGTAACACTTAGAACATTACTTTCTTTGCATGAGAGATTAATGTAATGGTCCTATGGTTGCTGCGCACTTCTGCCTCTCCTTTCTTGCAGATTGGAACACATATTGAACGTTTTCCGTCTATGAGCCATTGTTTTGTGTCCATATTTGTTGACATATTCTTTTTAGAATTTAGACCTATTCATATGCTGTAGCTTGGAGTAGTCCTGTGGTATCATATCTGTACTAGGTGCTTTGTTCCTTCCAAGTGTTTGCAGTGCAGCTTTCAGTTTACTTTCTAATATTGCAGGGTCTTCCTCACAGGATTCCACCTTGATGGAATCTGTCATCCTTTCCTCTCTTCTGTACAGTTCCTCCATGTATTAGTTCCACCTTCACTTCATTTTCTCCTGGTCTGATAGTGTGCTCCCTTGTTTGTTTTTTAGCATTCTTAGTCTAGGTTTGAATTTCCCTTTGATTTCTTGGATCTTCTGGAAGAAGTTTCTTGTTTTTCCTCTTTTGTTGCTTTCTTCTATTTCTTTGCACTGATCATTGATACAATTCTTTTTTCTCTATAGTCACTGAAAAGTTGTGTTCAGGATTCTGACCCTATTTCTTTCATTTTTTGCTTTTCACCTGTCCTTTGCAATTGTGAGTATTTTTTCTGTCATCTATCTAGGCTTGTTCTTGCTTGTTGCTACAAGAATGTGAAGATTAAATAAACTGGACATGTCATGCAAAACCAGTCAGTCTCAAATTTGTAGAAAGAGTGTTTGATCAACTAGGTTTTTCTGTCATGGTCCAAAGGATATTATACATGCTTGCATACTGGAGCAAATACTTGGGAATCGCCATGGCAAATTCTTAAAAGTTTTCAGTGGTGTGCTTTATGCACATCCCTTGGCTCACATTCCTAGCTTGTTCACAAAGCTACACTCCAGGAACAGTTGAAAAAAATCAAAAAGTTGTCCAGAGTATTAGATATCACCAAAAATTCAAATCTTGCTTGTTTGTAAGCTAAATTAGCCAAATTTGGTGCTTATAGAGCACCAAAAGGGTATGTCTAACTGGCAAGCAAGCTAAATGTAAAGGTTGCAGTACTCTGCAGTGGTTTGCAGCTGAAATTTGGTAGCAGACCAAAATTTTTCCCCTTTCTACATATTTTTGAGGGGGAGGGGGTACCTCACTTACAGAGCTAGCTAACAAGAAGAGCAATCTAGGGTTCAAATGGCTCCATTCTGGCAGTACATAGTTAAATTGCATTTATGTATCCTTGGACATTTAATGAAAAGGTGGATAAACATTTTTAAACCAAATCCATAAATATGTACACTTTCAGATATCCAAAGCCTTAACATGTTCTAAAACTATACTCGTATTTTAATCAGTTTAATCCATATTCATTTTAATAAGACATCATGTTCTCCTATCCAGTACCTTGGACTTGACTTGATTGCAGATAAAACCACTGTAAGGTGCTTTATAGTCTCAGCAAATTTGTTTGAAAATTAATCCCATCAAAGTTCAGTTATGTAGAATCAATCCTATGACTGTAGACCCCATTGAGTCATTGAGTATAATGTTGCTTCTGCTAAATAACTGTTTCAAACAACAATTCTATGAGCTTTAAGTGGGAGTAAATACAGGCTAAGAATGTTTTTTTTTTTTTTTTTTTTTTTTTGGGAGGCTGATGGGATACAATTGGTTAGGTCATTCACAGCTTCTGCTGGCTTAGCGTTACTTCATTCCTTTTTTATCAATAAATCTATCTTGAGCCTGCTCACCCAGGAGCTAAGATCTTGCACATAGTTCTGCTTGCTAATTTTAGACCCAAATAGCTAGAATTTCATTTTTACCTATATCTGATCAATTTAGCAAAAGAATTTTGGCATTAAAAACAGCTCTGTTTTGATCCAGCTGTGTCACACAGCTAATTTTAATTAACTTGCACCGGGTTTTGCTTTCTTCTAGCAAGTACAGATCCTGGAAAGTTCACTTCCCTTACATATAATGTAGTTTAGGACAAAGTCATTGAAAAGATTGTGATACATTAAGTGGAACTGACCAGAACATGAAAAGAGGTTAACATTATTGCCACAATGAGGCTACTGATTTCTGAGGTTTATTAGTGTTGTTTTGAATTTAATCTCTAAGTTCTAATATCAAGGGCATATGACTTTAGAGGAGTTCTAGATAAATTAATTTCTGTTTCCAATCAATTACTTTTCTGGGTTATTTGTTACAGTGTTCTATATGGAAACAAAATCACGGAGCTTCCCAAAGGCCTGCTTGAAGGACTTTTCTCCCTGCAGTTGCTGTGAGTATTCATTAAAATCTGGTTTTATTTTTGTTCACCAAAAAGAAGTCAAGTTTAATTAAAGGTGGATTGCACAAGGGACTATATGAATCTTTGAAACATTTAGTGCAATGGAACACTGATAATTGGAAGAGTGTTTAGGATAATGTCCTATGATCTTTCCATATTTGTCCTTTCCAACATGTGAACTTCTTGTTTGTTTTGAGTTACCATATTTTCCTGTTCAATTCAATTGCCTTTACTCCTCACACACCCTTTTGATATTCAAATTTTTAAATCCTTTCAATTTATTTTTCCGCTCTGCAGATGGACTTTTCCCACGGGGCAGGCTCTCTCTTAAAGTGGGGTAAAGAAGTGGAACAGCAGATCCCATGCTTCCCCCACTCCTGCCCAAGAGGACCTGTCATAGCATTTCTTCCATCTGCCAGTGCTGCCATCTCTGTGTCTCTTACTCTTCTACCTACCAGCCAACCCATTGCTGCAAAGTATTCTGTGGATCATCTCAAGGAGAGCTAGCAGACAGATGGGCTCTCTGAACTACCATGCCAGCCAGAAAAGCAGCAGGTGTGGCACTTCAGAGAGTCAGCCAGGCTCAAAGGAGGGATCCTTCCTTAAAGTCAGGAATTGTGGGGATCGGTCCCTAGCCATTGGCCACAGTACAGAGACCAAACTTCAGAGACACTTGTCGTCTCACAGTGGCTAATTTTTAAGGCAGGACCTCTTTTGTTAGGTATTTGGGTCTGGCCACCTCTCTGAAGAGCTATGCTGACTGCTTTTCTGACCAACATGACGCTTCAGAGATCCCAGTGCCCTAAAAAGTGCAGTAGATATGTCAGAGGATGGGAGGGAAGTTAAGAGAGCCAAACACAGGCAACTGGGCAGAGAGGAGAAAAAGTGAATGGCAAAAGGGATGGAGATAGTCAGATGTGAGAAATGACCACGCAAGAGGATGAAGAATGGAGACAGATACACTGAGATAGGAAGAGAATCTTTGCTATATGGTGACAAGGACAGAGACATACCAGATAGTCCTGGAGATAGGAAGGCAGAAGAGTCTGAACAAAACAATAGAATAAACAATGGCAGAGAAGAATGTCATCACTGAACCCAAAAGTGGGTGAGTTATTAAGAGACCTACACACCTGAAAGACTCTGCAAAATTCTAGTTTTGTATTTTATGATTTTTTTTCCTTTCTCAAAAGAGAAGGGATGTATTATATGAAATATTCTGGTGTTGGCCTGGATGGGGTATACATCTTGGGAGGAGCCAGGAAGCAGTGAGGCCAGCACCCATGGCTTCTGGTATGAGGAGAGAGAGACCACAGCCTATGAGAGCACTGCAGAGGGGCCTTTCCTTAAATCAAACTTGGATGTTTTGTTTAAAAAGTATAGTCTGCCTGGATCTGTGGGTTACAATCCACCAATTTTAAATGCAGTCTGTCTTTATATTGTACTGGAAAAACATAGTCGCCTAGTATGGATCTGTTGTGTTGTGAGAAACTTGAGATGAGTTCAAAGAAGATTTTGCTGTGGAGAGGGTGGGAAGAAGGACAGAGACATACATGTATTGTGTCTGGCAATTATCAGCACTTTTAGCACTTGTGAGAACATTCGTGTTGTATCTATAGTGTCCTTATCAATCTTTGCTCTCTTTTTTTCATTTGTCCACTCTCCTGATTTTGTTGGTAATAACAGAATGCAAATTCTAATTATGATTCAGATATAATGCTAATTCTATCATTATGTGAAAGAGGCACAGTAAGCTTCCAAGTTATATTCTTCCCTCTCATACACTGTTTGGAACTTTCACTTCTGCTTTAAATTAGTTTACCTTAACTTTTGTTGATTTAAACAAGCTAACTTTAGACCATAGGTTATGGTTCAGTTGGCATACTAAACTGCAATTACTTGAAAGTGGAAGTATCAGATTTCCCTGTGCCTAAACTGTAAGAAGAAAAATTCAAGATTTACTTAGGTTTATTCTTTTGTTGTTAAACCATGGTTTAGCATTACATCTGAACTCAGCCAATGATTTCCTATCTGGTTTCCTTTGCCTGTATATTCATTTTCAAGTAAATATCCCGTGTATATCGATTGTACACTTGATACTGAAATTTTATTTTAAGGAAGTAATATAACATTGTGTGCACTGGATACATGACTATTAAATTTGCAATTAAATTGTATATTGTATTACATGCATGAAATTCTAGAAAATAAACTTACCAAAACACTCATAGTCAAACTACTGAAGCTTAGTTGGAAATAGTAAACCAAGTCTTACTTGTTTTACACTTCTTTTTGGTTTCCCAGATTATTAAATGCTAACAAGATAAATTGCCTGAGAGTAGATGCTTTCCAAGACCTCCACAACTTGAACCTTCTCTCTTTGTACGATAATAAGCTTCAAACCATTGCGAAGGGCACCTTTTCCCCACTACGAGCAATTCAAACCTTGTATGTATTAAAATTGTCCATTTGTTTTGTGCTTCAGGCTCTTGGTTTATATTCTCAAATAGACCAGGAAAACTTGGGAACTGCAGAGACCAACTACAAACATGCAAAAATGTTCTTTTCTTTCTATTTGTGAAAGGCATTTGGCTCAGAACCCGTTTATTTGCGACTGCCATCTGAAGTGGCTGGCGGATTATCTTCATACAAACCCTATTGAAACCAGCGGTGCTCGCTGCACCAGCCCCCGCCGACTGGCAAACAAAAGGATTGGCCAGATCAAAAGCAAGAAGTTTCGCTGTTCAGGTAATTTCCTCAGTTCAGCTGCTACTTTTCTTTCACTTCCCAAAAAACTCCCTATTCTTCTTCTTCCCTCCCCCCAAAAGCACCAGTGGTTGCCGACAGCTTTAATGGAAAAACAGCCTCACTCTTAACTAAATTGTAGCAACTCTAGACTGGGGCCATTTTATCATGCAACATATCTCTAGTTAACACTCTGTAGTTACTGTTCCTGTCAGACACAAACTTGCAGTATCCCTCTTGTCAGCTGCTTTTTAAAAACTAAAAATCTGGAATATCAGGAAAATCTAAAATAAAATCCACCCACAGAATGTGAAACATAACGTTCATATTACACAGGGAAGCTTATATCATGCTGAAATGTACTGTTTGCTCTTTCTAATCTTATTCCATTTCCTACTTGCTTATTTCTAAAGCCTAACTTCTGTCATCTGGTGTCCAGCTGTTCCAGGTGCATTTCATTTTCTGCATTTAATTCTGTTTTTAGTAAAAGTACCAGAAGGGAACAGCTGATCTTGGCTGCAGATACATTTATATCTAGTCACATTGGGTCAGCAGTTGATTTGAGTACATAATTTTCCTCATAAGTACCTACAATTAACTCTAGTCCATATGCAGTCTAATAGACTTAATTCTTTGCTTGCTTACATTCAGGTGCATATTCTATTTTTTTTCTCTTTTTTATTTAGCTAAAGAACAGTATTTCATTCCAGGTAGGTTTGGCTCTGCAGTGAAACTGACTAACTACAGGCCGCTATTCCTCCCTCACCAAAAACATTTTTTTAACTTCTAAAAAATGGTTGCATGCATTTCAGTCCTAGTGAAACCTCTTAGAATAGTAATAGTTTTCTAGTTTTGTTTCTCCAGTATACGAGCTTTGCATGCAGCTCTTGATAGTCACCTCACCAATGAGCACAGAAAATACTGGGATGGGTTTCGGTTTACATTTGCTAGGTTGCACCATCTGCTTTTAGACAGATGTATCTGTACCTATCTTGTATATCCTACTTACTGTTAACACCTCTGTTCTTTAAATGTGGCTATTGAGCTGCTTTTAAATGAAGAGAACCCTGCTATGATCAAAGACCTAAGAGAACCTAAACACCTTTTCAAAGGAAATACTTTCCTGCTTTGCTTTTATGTACTAAACTGTTGGTTTCCTGCTGACTGTCTGAACTGTTGCTTGCTCACTTATGACCTTTGATCCCTGTGTTTGTGAAATCACAAAAAAATCCCAGTAAAACTATTTATGTTCTTGCAAGGGTATTCAAAGGCCACATATATTTTAAACAAAAATACTTCTTGGTGAAAGAAAAAATAATTAAAACGTTAACACATTTATACCGTGCTTTAAACTAATTGCTTATTCCCTTGACATCCCCATGTGAATGATCGATGTTGCCTCCAGCTCTTTGAAATGTATTTCCTTTTTTTTCTGCAGCTGACAAACGAGTGCAGCGCTTTCTTAATAGGAGGAAAAAACACCAAACCAACATAGCCATCCACTTACATGATAGTGTCCCTAACACATGATAAATAATTGATTCACAAAACTGCTCAAAGGTCTAATGAAGCTTTTGACTGAACCACAGATGCATGAACTGCTAGCATACTGTCTACTGTAATAGTTGAGTATGCAATCAATGAAACATGTCCTTTTAAGCACATTTATATATATGATCAGTCTGCAGTGTTATGTGTGCTCATTTATCTATTGGTTTTAGCTGCAGCCATGTAATCTTGTGTGTTTAACCCATGCTGCCTTTACTTTCGTGTAGTACATTTTCTTTTAGCTGGAGTGCTCATATGAGGCATTTTATGCCCTTTTCTACTACTTTAAGTAGCAGGGAGAAGAAACAGGAGAAAAATTGCCATTCTTGGTTATGATACAGGTTTATTCTTGTAAAAGGCCAAGAGAAGGCAGCCTGGAAAGTGAGGCAGACATTGATTTTTTTTAAATACATGACAGCTACCTCTATATTTGCATACCCTGAAGAACATAAAAGAATGATCTGTTGCCTGGACAAAGGGACACATAACAATGTTCTTGAAATTTATGAATCCCAGAGATCAGAAATCTGTTTACATGTGGATCTGCACATTTTACATCAACTAAAACTGGAAGAATGTGATTTGTGAATCAGAATTACTTATATGCATATTTGATTTTCAGAAAACCAAAATGAAAAACCCTAACTCTGTAGCAAGAAAAATACTCATTTTTAATTAGTAAACAGTTGCCGTTGGCTATTTATTGTACTTAACAAGCCATGTGTGATATAGCTATGATAAGTTTCTTTTGTATCTTTTAAAAATTAGTTCACCTTTCTCCTTGAATCTGCAGTAGCTGCTGAAACCATTTACTGGTGGGATCCAGCTACCATTGTAGTGTAATTTTCACCTTCATTCGTAAAGACAAGGAGCTAGTAGTGGAGAATGGAGCACTTCCGTCACTAGCATCATGGAGGCAGATAGTTGATTGACTGCATGTGCAAACCCACCTAAAACACAGTTACAGGGTTGAAGAAAAACTGCCATAATTCCTTAACATACCCTTCTAAATCAGGCATATTTTAGTAGAGAAATTGATTTGTGTGTGTAGGGAGAGGCTATAGTGATCTATTTCAAATAGAAAAGACACAAAGTATTATTTTATCTTGCTTTTAGCGAGTTTCTCCCACCTGTTTAAGAATCGAATATTGATTATACTTTGATAGTCCACAGGTACTCAAGTAGTATTTTGAAGGCAAACAATTTAATATTTAATCATTGTAAACCATATCAAAAGTGTTCAGTTCCCAAGTGATGTTTGAAAACTATATGTTATTTAACAAGAAAGTAAATAACCCAGGAATAAACTTTTCATAGAAAAGTTACAAATAACCCTACTAAGTGCTTTTGCTTGGGCACTAAATAAAATATACTTGGAAAATTCCAGGCCATTTTGTATGCTTGGATAAATTGTAGTGGGGGCTCTTCCACAATATTTGTTTGGTTATGACTCTTCAATGGCTTATCAAATGTTTGTGGAAGTGTCCTAAAGCTCTAGTATCTTTTAATAAAAATACCTTAGTATTTTAATACCATTGCATATGAGAAATAAGTGTACAGTAGGCCAACCAAAATGAGCTTTGTTATTTCTGGGTGTTTTGTTTTTACCATTGGGATCATTCTGTCTTTCTTTCCTCCATGGCTGTCTTTCCTATTTCAGGAGTTCACCATTTGGGCTGTAAGTAAAGTTCCGAGTGTGAACCAAACAACACTACATTTCCTAATCCTGATGCACTTTCCACTTCTAGTCTCAGTCTTTGCACTTTTTGTCCAGGAAGAACTTGCCGGTTGTCTGAGTTTCTTTGTTCTTTTCCTTTTGCCTACCCTCAGGTCCTTGCTAGATGTTTCTTCCTGATATGTACAGGATGTTACTTCCATTCTGTAACATGTGAAGAATGGTGAAGAAATCTTTCTTCCTGAAGTCCATGTTTGTGTTTCTGATTAAACAGTGACAATGAGCATTCTGTAACAAGAATGCCATGCCATCCTAAGCAATTTCCCACTGCAAAACTTTCCTATACTTTCCTCTTTCTCCCATTGCTGCTTCTTCTTCTTAGCCTAAGTGGATGAAGTTGTGATAACTTAGCGAGATTTTCTGTTGTGCTTGATCTAACCATGTGGTTGCGAGGTATGAGTAAAACATGGTTCTGTCAAGCACCATGGAACGTCACGCAGCTTTCTACAGCATGGCAAGCTGCTGAGGCTTAAATCAGGATTACACACTTTTTTAAAAAATTGAAGAAGAAATATAGGGCTTTAAATTTTATGGTTCTAAGATTAGACAGAGGATCGTGGTTAGTAAAATAGAAGAATAAAGGGGGGTTAATGAAATGAGATACAAAGAGCTACTTAATCCCAAAACTGGGATAAAATATATTGAACAAGAACTAGTTCTGTTTTCTGTTTAACTGTAAAATGGACTAGATTAGCTGACAAATCAGCAGAAACTACAGCTGTGAAAAGCTCAAGTGATTAATGTTATCCCACCATGTGATTGTTACTCCCTCCCCCAGCAAATTTCAAGCCTTCTGAAATTTAACCCATTCTTAAACTTTACTTTTTCTTCATTTTCACAAACATACCCCAAATTACCCATTTGTCTGTACTGCAGATCTGTCCCTCTTTCCTCTTTTCTATGAGAAATTATTTTCATCACCCTCTAAATAGACTTAATACCTGTATTTTTTATTCTGCTTGTCCATAGGCACAGAAGATTACAGATCCAAATTAAGTGGAGATTGCTTTGCAGACCTGGCTTGCCCTGAAAAATGTCGTTGTGAAGGGACAACAGTTGACTGCTCCAATCAGAAGCTCAGCAAAATTCCTGACCATATTCCTCAATATACAGCAGAACTGTAAGTTTGAGCTTACAAAGGTGTGCCGGGGGAATATTATTGCTAATAACATTATTACTTACATTGTTTCTTTTGGGAATGTGACACATCTTACCAGATTCAGCTCATGTATTTTTAATTTTGGAACATTTATTTGAATAAGAATGTTTAGTAAAGGGGGAAAAAGAAGAAGTTTAAAATTTACTATAGAAAAGAATGTAAAAAACTGGCCCTCTATAGATTGCTTTATTGTTGGATCCATTGCTAAAATTCAGTTTCTGTTCACCTGCCAATTTACTCCTCTCACTATTCCACCAGCTCTACCTAGGAGCCCAAATTCTCCCTCCTTCATCCTGTCCTATACCATTCCATCTTGCTGGCGCTGTGATAAATCCCATCCATGCTTTCTTTAATCAAGCTTGGACCAGGCAGCTGAAGGAAGCAAAAGAGAGGTTATTTGTGATGTTGAATACCACAGTTTGAGAGTTCAGAGCCTCTTATGAGCTGCGCCCAAACCCCCACTGAAGTTCAGACCTGTTAGTAATAAGCTCAGCTTGACACCACTCAAACTTACCATTGCAATTGGTGTGTGAGCCATGGAGATGACATGGCAATGTGGCCACTGCTACCAGGAAGCCTGGGAATTGTTCTTCCTGGCTCAATGGATTGAGCCAAGTGGAATTAAAAGCACAATTTTCTGGCAGCAGTAGAAGCTCCAAAGCATGCTCAAAAATGCCTGTTGCTACCCAGAAGCACCTGTTGTTGCCAGGAACGTATGAATGAGAACTCTGCTCTGGACAGCCTTTCTTACCACTGATTTCGTTCTCCAACTCACCAGGTAATTTTGGGAAGTTGAGGAAAGTATGATGGAAGAACACTGGCAAAAGTGGTAGATTAATTCTTTCTGAAAAGTCTCAGAGAACCACTGATTTTCTCAGAAAATTCTCTGAGAACTTTGAGAAAGATCAAGCCAATTTCACATTGGATTTAATGGGATATTGCCAATCCTTATCAAATACACTGTGGCATCTCTTCCCCATTCTTCTGCATTCCTCTTTGTGCAATCATTTAAGTAGAAGAGTCATACATGCTTGCTATCGCAAACCCCTCAGAAGACACCGGACACCTTAATTCAGGGTCACTTTTGTGAAAACCAAGGGTAATTGCAGAGATGGAGGAGTTAACAATTATTTTAAAATCTTTTGAATACCTTTAATACATCCAAAGGTGGTAGTGCCTCAGGTTAGCAATCACTGAAATATGATAGGTTTGTGTACCAGAGTTCAAAAGAACTGAAGATGTAATCAAAAATATTAAACATGGTGTATCATAAGAATTCTGATGAACTAATAAGCAGAGTCAGGATTTCCTTCCTTAGTTTAGCCTGCATCTTTTATGCATCTACTGTTCTCCCTGTGCTATTGACAAAGGGTTGCAGTGCAGGATGGGCGAGAGGGAAGAGATTCCACATTAGTCCATTCTCAGCAAAGGAGAGACATACTGAAGAACCATCTAATTTATATTTGTTTTTAAAGTACTTAAAAGACACAGGAGCAGAACAAAACAAAAGGCAAGTGTATGATAAGCAATGGCGATCAAGATGACATTGGGGCAAAATGTAATTGGTTCAGGCACAGTTAGCAACTGTGTGCAGGTGTCCACATCTACACAGGTGGAGCTAAGGTAGGAAGGGACAAGGATGCTCATTTAGATCTCAGAGGAATCTGGGCACACAGGAACATTGTGGGTAGGGCTTAGCTAAGCACACCCATGCCTCTTTCCCTCTATTGAGCAATCAGACTGCCCAGCATATGCATCCATACTATATCATCAAATGCCACCTTCAGATCATCTCATTGCTTATGATCTAAGGATGCTATGCTACATCAGGTGACCCTTACAAGTTTGTGATTCCATGTTGCACTGTAGTATATTGTAGGTATTTGTTTGCACATAAGGTGAAAGTGAGGAGAGGGGCACGGACACGGCATACTTCAGATCTTTACATTGTGTGCAAAGCTGTAAAAAGAGTTCTGCAGGCATATCCATCTGAATGCACTTACACAGCTGCTGCAACTGTGAACCTGGCATTATCAAGGTTTCCAGTGACAGGACTCTGTAAACATATTCAGCTGAATGTGTTTACAGATATCCAGTTGACAGTTTTATACAGTTCACATCATGATGAAGCGAAGAGCACATGTGCTAAATATAAGGCCAGTCTTAGCCTTCATCCCTGTGATCCTGCATTGTACATTCATTACCCAATCCAGGCTTGGGGAGCATACCCTCAGAGTGCCTTCTTCAAAACCCCACTTCCTGCTTGCTCGCCCAGTCTGTGCAGTGGCCAGAAGAAGAATAAAGTAGAAGCAGATGATTTTGTTTCTTGTACTCTCCAGTGTCCTTCTTTGTATACTTAAGGACAGTGAACGCCTAAGAAGAACAAGGAGGAGGTGGCTCCAGAGTGTGTCAGTGCCGGTGGGCTCTTGCGAGGGATGGGTTGCCTCAGCAGTAGTCTGAAAATGCCTACCCCTCCTGTTGGCTCTGGCTGTGCTACTTTCTTTTAAAGCTTGCATAGTAGGAAGAGGGAGCAGAAAGCCATAGGGCCTAGGAGTAAGCTTGATAGAACCATTTCAAATTGTTAACATCAATGGGTATGAATGTCTTTGTGGAATTTCATAGTTATACTTGATAAACAGCATATTGTGAAAAGAGGAAAGGAGATCTGGATTGTAGCCACTTGTATTTGTTTTCAGCATTTACATTTATTATAATTATTTTTGTCGCTAGTGTGAACATTTCCATTTGCTTCTCTGACTGTACAGTTAATGGGCCTTTTGTGTTCTTTAGCGGCAGAAGTGGTTGCAAAATGGCAGTTTATATATGTTACACAAAAATTGCTACTTTTATACTCATGTTTCTGCTGAGATTCAGTCTAATTATTCTGAAACAAACTCTCTGTTAAGGAAATAGACCTTCTAAGTTTATAGAAAGCCTTATAACCAAGTGCATATGCTGCTGTTAATATAATCCAGTGGAAAATGTCCACAAGTGCTAGTCACTGTGCACAGTCATATAAAAGCAAAGAGTACATGCGTGGTTTGTAGATTGCAGGGCTGATATGTAGAATCTGCAAATGATGATGGATAGTTAATTGAGTGGCATCCAGTGGCCTGTCAGCCTGTATATTTTAAAACTTGCAAAGGATGCATATTTCTGTACTGTGTTTGAAACTTAATGTATATTCTCTGATGGTTAGCCAGGCTTTTAAAGCAGCACCCAAAACCTTCATTGCCTAATTCGCTCTTTCCTTGTAAACCTGCAGGGAGTAACTTGCTTATGCTTTTACATTCTGTACAGTGCTTAGATCTTTGGGATGAAATTATGATGATTATTATCCGCCATGCAGTGTAGGAAAATCAACTCATATTTTCCAACAGGTGTTAATTACTATTCCTGTTTACTAGACAACTTGCATTAATGTCAGTATATATGTGTAATACATATTATGCTATTCCTTGTATAGGCGACTCAACAACAATGATTTTACAGTGTTAGAGGCTACAGGGATCTTTAAGAAGCTTCCTCAACTACGCAAAATGTAAGTTTGTTTATTATCCTAACTTGCTGAGGTGGCCTCAGTACAGAACTTTGCCTTTGGAAAGGTTGAAAGTATCCTATCAGGAGTAACAAGAGGAAAGTATCAAAGCTGCAGAAATTCCCAGACTTTTATTACATTCCTTAACATTGGTTAGAAGTTATATTGGCTATATTTCACTGAGGTTTTCTCTTTTTTAATCAGTATATTTATCTATAGATAAAAAGGGTTATGGTGAAGGAAGCATAGCTTAATGTAGAGCCCATGCTATCATGAGCAAGGTCCAAGTTCAGTCACTGGTATGTACAGCTGAAAGTATCTCATGTAACTTGGAAAGGCCTCTGCCCAAGAGTCTGAGAGCCATTGCCATTCAGAGTTGACAGTACCAGGTTGGATGCAACCAGTTCTCTGATGTAGTGTAGGGCAACTTCATATGTTCAAATGGGAGGGTTGATGGCAGTTTGAAAGCTTTCATACTGACATTCTGAACAAAGCCTTATTGAAGCTTACACTTTTCATATAGTTTAGCCAAGTATGTTATATCAAAATATCCTCCTTTGTACAGGGGAAAAATCAATAGATTTCCTTAATGCTCTTTCATTTGTCAAGAGTGTATCAGCTATGACAGGTTGACATGTCTCCCATACTGGCTCAGCCCAGAACTCTTATGTTTGATTTGTTTGGTCGAGATACTAGCATTCAAACCCTCCCCAGCCTGATTCCTCATTTGGGAGTGCTCAGACAGTTTCCTGTGGTACATTATGTTGAGGAAATGAGCTGTTAGTGACTGGGTGCCTCAGTCTGAATTGAGAGGAAAATGCAACATCTTCCTAGGACTAGTGAGCAAGAAATTCCTTTGATAAAAGTAGAATGTGCATCTAAACATGTTAATACTGGAATTCATAATAGTCAATTCAATATTTGAAGACATAAAATTTAATTGATGCTGTTATGTTATGGAAGTTCTAGTTTTTTAAAAATTTTGTGACTATGATTCCAGTGTTTTAGGAACAGATGTTCTTTCTGTATCCCTCCTAGGATCATTATCTCCATTCTAATGAATCTCAAACATTGGTTGTAGCTTAACATTTTGTTGTTCATCTGGAGTTTAGTCATTGTAATGTGGATCATTTCATCCAAAACATTTTTGCTTTTAATTCTCTTCATTATAAATTTATAACAGAAATCTGAGCAATAACAAAATCACAGATATTGAAGAAGGAGCATTTGAAGGAGCATCTGGTGTAAATGAGCTGTTGCTCACCAGTAACCGGCTGGAGAATGTTCGACACAAAATATTCAAAGGATTAGAAAGTCTCAAAACTTTGTAAGTCTATCATGTCCTGTCCCACCCACCCCGCTGTCTCCATGCACAATTACTTTCATTTGCTATAAATGTTCTATTTTTAAAACACTCATGGACAAGAGTGCATGCTTTACTTTTACTCCCATTGTATCTGAGGTAAATGTAATATACCTTGCCTACGTGGAATAAATTTCTGAGAATGCTGATTCAGAGAACTATAGCAAGTAGGCAATGTACATGTGGCTGCATAGAACAAATGTAGCAAATTCTAAAGTGGAATATGCACCAAATATGGCTCTGAATTTTAGGACCTCTCTTAAATGTTGACTTTTCACTGAATGGCATCTTTAAAATATGTGTATCATTTTTTTAAAGAGCCATCATTCCCTAGCAATATTTTTCTAGTCTTGTCTAATTTCTCAATCAACCTAGAATTTGTCCTGTATTGCAAGATCTAGTTGTGAGCATAGAAATTTGCAGCTGAAATGCTGCCTTTGCTATAAACCTACCTGGTAATTCTAGGCAACCTAACCTAAACTAAAAAGACCTAAATACAGTGGCTTTTCTTCTTACGGAAGCCGCTCCAGGCCTCTGAACATTTTGGTTTCCCCTTTTCTACACCTTTTTCAACTATCCCTCTTGCAGGACTGTATACAATATTCTGTGTGTGACTGGACCATAGATTTCTAAAAGACATTAGGCCACTGGGTCTTTTATTTACATTTACCCTTTTCTAATCAGCCCTAACCTCAAGTTTTTCTTATTCACAGCTGCCTCACATGGAATGTTTGTTTCACTTGAAACTAGGATCTCATTCCCAGTTAGCCAGTGTTAGTTCTCTTATTTCAGATATGCCTAGAAGTTACATTTTCTTACATAGAACCACATTTGCCATTTTGCTCCTCATTAACCCAATTTGGAGAAATCCTTTTTAGAAGTTTTCGTAATGCATTTGGATTTTTATCATCTTGGCAACTGGCCTGCTCCTCCTTAAATTCAAATTTAAGAAGATGCTAAATAGTACTTTTCCCAATATACATCTTTGGGGGACTTTACTTATTTTCTCCATTGCAAGCACTGTCAGTTTATTACTATTTGCTTCCTGTTGTTTAACCAGTTACCAGTTTCTAAAAGGATCCATTCTTTGATCGAACAGCTGCTAGTTTTACTCAGGAACCTTTGATATGAGTCTTTTTCTCTACAACCAAATACACACTGTCTGTTAGCTCATCATTTACCACATGTTTATTCACATTCTGAAAGGAGGTGGATGCCTGAAGCTTTTGCAGGTACTCACAGAAATGAAATGAATGACATAATTTTCCTGTTGAACATTCTTGGACTGGTATTGCCAGTTGCATTTCTAGCAAGGAAAGATGCTATACTGGAACCACCATTATCTGTCTCATTCCCCTGCCCCAAGATAAACTACTGCAAAATGGAAAGGTAGCAGCATTGCTCCCAGCATCTAGCTGAGATGAGCCCAGTTCACTGGCAAAGCAAGAGGTGTTCCTACTTGAATATTTCCAATATCTGCCCTTTCAAAGACATTCAGAAGGTTGTTGAGGCAAGTCTTTCCATTACAAAAGTGTTGCTGAGTCTTCCTTAGTATAAGGACTCATTCTGTATGTTTCAGAATTTTATGTGTAATCGTTGTTGTTATGTGCCATCAAAGTTGTCTCTGCCCTCTGGTGACCTTATGAATGAAAACACTCCAATATTTCCTATCCATTACTTCCCTGTTTAGCTGTTTAATATATAATCAAGCTTTCAGCCAATTTATCGAGAAGAAACATTATGCCTGACTAAGTTATCATTCCCTTGCTCCTCATGTTAAGACAGTGGTGGTGGTGGTGGTGATGGGGTAATACTTCAGTTTATCTCAAATTCTCTGGTATAAATACCAAATTTAGGTACAAGGCGGCACAGTGACTTTTTAAAATTCAATTTAATTTTTAATGTTTTTTTTAATCTAAAATGACTATGAAATAAGGAGGACTCTTACTGTTCCAGCACTTGGTGGAAGCTTCTTAACTTCCCCCACGTGCTTTTATTTTAAAGCGTTTAAATCTTTCTTGTTTAACATGTGTTTAAAGTAGTGGGGGCTGGGAGAGTTTGTCTCTTCCCCCAACATGGTTTCATCATTATCAATTGTGGCCCCTCTGCCAATGAACTTGTACCAGCAGTAAGAATACACTGGCATATCCCTGACTACACAAATGTATGTTCACAGGTGAAGGTCCATCTCAAAATAAGCCATCATAGGATTCAGGTCCCATCCAAATCAAATGCATATCCCTAATAATTGCTGATGAAATCCAGATGTTTCACACACAGGGAGAAGTATCATTTTCTCCCTCTGTGTGTATAGTATAGTAGCTCTAGTGCATTTACTTACCCTGAAGGAAGAGATGACTGCCACTGGTAAAACTGTTACCACTGTGAAAATTGGTCCCAGTTTTAAAAGAGTAAATTATGTATAGACAATGTAAGAATTGCCTTGCTAACTGCTATGTGTAGCAAGCAAGTGTTGGTTCTGTCTATCTAGAGGAGGAACAGACAGTAGGAATAGAATGCACTGCAATATTTATTGCTAGAATTGTATTACTTGTGGAAGACACAGTACAACGTATCATACACTGTTTAGTAAACTGTAAGGGATTTTAGACAAATGAGAGGAGTGGTATTTTCTCAGTGTGTTAGCAAACTAATGTGTTCATATTTTTTCTCAGAATGCTAAGGAGCAATCGCATTAGCTGTGTGAGTAATGATAGTTTCACGGGCCTGAGTTCTGTTCGTTTGCTGTCCTTATATGACAACCAAATAACTACAATTGCTCCTGGTGCCTTCGACACTCTCCATTCCCTTTCTACGCTGTAAGTTCTTGCATTTGCAGCCAATCCTTTATCTGAGAAAAAAGCTATCTTACAAATAGACAGATGGGGTGATAGATGTAGATGTTACTGTCAACATGAAGGTTAAGTAGTGCTTACAAAGTTATGTATCTGACTGTTTCCACAGATGCTAAGAACATATTAACAGATGAATATCAAATGTGAAAATATGGCATCAGACTCTGCTAAATATTAGCTTGTTCACACTTTTCTTAAATGACTCCATGCATTGTGTCTGAACTATTCCTTTCAGGTGAATTTTTATTAAAAATTGTTGCATTGGAACAAGTTCTTTCTCAGAGACACCTGTAACTTCCTGCCATGAATGATTTTCCTTGACCAGAGTTTCACTGCAGTGGAATCAGCCAATCAGTTTGGTTCATACATTTTTTTTCCATGTAATATGCTCCATGTAATATGCAAGGAATGGCCAGAGCATCTCTTGTGCAGCCCTTATACTTTGATCCAAAGATGCCACATACTCACACATATGCTTCTGCATTCACATTAGAGATCACCCAGCAAGTTGATGGAGTGCTGGTGCTGAGGTGTTTTCTTAACTGAGTGAATGGAGAATAAATTCATCCATGTATTCATAAAGAATAGAAATGAGTATATGAAGGTATATCTAATTCAAAAGTAGAGAGGGCACAGTCAACAGCAAGCAGGTAGTGATAGTTCATCATTCACCTATTTCTACAAATGCCTATTAATTTGAAAGTGTGGAAGTATACCCTTAGGTAACTTAAGCATCTGCACACACAAAAGTGGAAGTGTGGGCTCTTTCTCTCATGATCCCCATATTCAGGTATCTGATGTGTGGCTGAGATACTGAACCCAAACACTGGAATGGATATGTAGAAGTGGTTATTTCACTTCCATATTGACTAATACGCATTTAGAGACACTGTCACATCTAAGGTGGTTCTCTTGTTATATGCATGCCGTTTTTTTTGTTCCTAAATCAACCATCTGCTCTGACCACAGTCAGCAGCAAAGCCAAAGAAAACAATTGTGGAAATCAAACGGCATCTGGTGAATTATGACCATGCAACTTTGCCTACTATATTATCTATATAGTTTTGCTTGTGCTTATGCTTTTGTGTGGAGCTTTTTGCCTCCTCAGAAAAAGGTTAAAGGTCTCCTGAGGATCAAGGATAATCAAAGCTGGTTTAATTTGCCATTTATTTATTTATTTATTTATTTATTTAAAGCTTTTGTATAAAGGATAATCAAAGCTGGTTTAATTTGCCTTGTATTTATTTGTTGGTTTGTTTATTTAAAGCTTTTGTATACCATCCCATCACTGACATCTCAGGATGGTTCACAATAAAACCAATAAATTAAGATAAAGAAATAAAAGCACAGTGTCCAATAATAACTATCAAAATCACAAATTAAGACAATTAAAATACTGGGAAAATAAAAATATATTGTATTCAGATATTAATGTAATCTTCTGAAACGCACCGTTTGGGCTGCAAAACTTTGCTGCTGGTAGCACAGAAAAGTCAGGATTGCCAAGTATCTGTGCATTTCATAGCAGCCTAGAAAGGATAGTTTCGTTATGTGTGGTTTCTTATCCATTGCTGCACTTTGGTGGGAAAAGTTGCATTTTCTACTTTAGTCCTTCACATGCTATTCAAAGCAAACCTATCCTAGTACTGGACTGTATTTGGTAATGCTAGGGAAGTGCTTCTTACTGGTATGTAAAGGTGTCTGCTTTAATAAGATAACTGACTGTATGATTCTCAAGACTTAGAACAACAAAGCCATGAGTTGTGATAATTACCTTTGATGACGTAAGATCCCCCATCCCTTTTATTGCCCTTATTCCCATGCTTTAAGGCAGCCAGAAAGCTGGCAGCTCAGGAAATGCATGACAAGTTGCCTTTTGGAGCAAACCTGGGAAGTGGGGACAGGGGGAGCTTGCAGATCCAGGCCTGTTTTCCCATTGCAGTTGGCAGGGTAGTGCCCTCAAGTTAAATTTGTTTTAGATTTGAAAGTAACAGGATCCCATACTTGGTTGCTTAGAATGAAGTCCCACTGTTAACTCCCAGATAGTTGTCCATAGGACTGCAACCAAAATGGATTTATTTGAAATGTACTTTTCCAGAGCCATCTCTTTCTTTCAGTAGAAGAAAAGATGAAGATTGGCAGTGGGGGAGGGGGTACAGTAAGCACTTCATGCCTTAGCAATTCAGGTTTCTGTGGTAGGGATTTGTAAGGGAAGAATGTAATTTCCAGCGTACTTAATTCACTTCCTGTTTAAAATGTGACAAGTTACAGCTAATGACTAATTCGTGCATATTTAAGATGGCATGTTTATAAATAATGAAATTGTCAAAAGGCCTCTGCAGAAATGTGGATATGCCAAAAAGATGCCAAAAGCACTGAGACTTCTGGAAGTAAATTCATTTTTATAACTGGCATGTAATCAACTTAGCTGTCAGTTTGGATGGGAAACCTATTCTCTGGAGCAAATAAAAGATGGAAATCTTGAGGAGGCAAATTAATGAAAGAGATGTTGTCAGGTTAAAGCTAATAATATAAAGTAATCAGCCTTCATCTCTACATTAAATTACTGTATTATCATGTGTAGAGAGCCTGACAGCAAGTCGAATTTGTGACAACTCTAAATTATTTCTAAACAAGATGTATCAGAATTTCTCAGCTCAGACACAGAAATTGCCATTCTGAACTTTGGTTTTGTTATGAGGGGATTGTTCTGAGACAGGAATTTCATCCATGTTTATGGGTTGGGTATATGTGTACACAAACACAGTCAGGGAAGTGAGAGGAGTTAGTGATATCAATCCTGCTTTTTGCAAAGGAAGCAAAAAGTTAGTGGTAGTTGCAAAGGAAATTATTTTTGTGAATGTGTTTCTTTCACTGCTTTCTTCATATGAAACTGAACTATTTTTATCTGCATGTGCTTATCAGAAACCTCCTAGCCAATCCTTTCAATTGCAACTGTCACTTAGCATGGCTGGGAGAGTGGTTGCGGAAGAAGCGCATTGTAACAGGGAACCCTCGCTGCCAGAAACCCTATTTCCTAAAAGAAATTCCTATACAGGATGTCGCCATTCAGGATTTCACTTGTGATGATGGTAAGAAATGTAGCTTGTATGCTGAAAATTAACTGGACAAAGTTGTGATAGTATTGCACTGGGTCATCTCTGAGTTACGGCAAGCCTATGAATGAAAGCCCTCTGGAATGTCCTATCCTTAACAGCCCTGCTCAGCTCTTGGAAACTCAAGACTGTGCCTTTTATGAAATCGACCCATTTCATATTTGGTCTTCCCCTCCTTTTTCTGCCACCTTCACCTTTCCCTGGCATTGTTGTCTCCTCCATTGAATCTTGCCTTCCCATCATGTGCCCAAAGTATGACAGTATGCAGCAACTGAAATCAGTTAATTGTGCTGCATTTGAAAGTCTTCCTCCAGTGTTATCAGTGACATCAGAGTTCATAGGGAGGAAGCTCACAATGGAACTACCCCATGGATTTGGGGCAGTGTTGACATGAACTTCTCCCTTGTAACAGCCAGTATACCAAAATGAAAAGGTACCATGCCAAGATGACACCAGAAAGAGTACTTGCAGAATCATTCTTCAAGCTGGCGCAATCAAAATTCCTTTCTAAAGCAAACATTACCCTTACCCGTTGGCACTCTTGCTGTGTATGTTTTCCTAGTGTCCAATCTGTTCCAAGTTCATAAGTTTTCACAACAGATTGTCAGTCTTGCCATCTTCTCATTTGGTCTCTGTAGCTTATAGCTCTAGAGGTGTCAGAGAAATTCACAGTGGAGTCTAATGAAACCAGATTTCGGGAATCTTACCTTGAATTCCACAGTGGACCAACTTTTATTGAGTTGCATGGATTCCATGGACTTACAGAACAGTCATTTCTGGAATTTTATGCAAATGTAGACATAGCATTTTTAAAATGTAATTCCTTCCCCCAATAAGTTAAAGTATGAAAAAACACATTTTGGGGGGATTTGTACATTGTCACAGGTAGAGATGTGCATAAATACATATTCAAGAAATGGAAACAGATCAGTTCTAATGATCCAAGAAATGCAGATAGGACTGATTTAACAAAGTCCATACATCCTTCTGTGCCTTACACTTAAACTATGAAAAGCTGATTTCAATCCAGTCAGTGTCTAAACTGCAGTGAAGGCTTCTCGTGTGTAGGAAAATTTCTTTGAGTAATACATTAACTATCCATTAGTTTAGATTTTCTGGGATGAAACAATATTTTAAGAGGCCATCAGAAAACTAATTATTTGGAAGCAATTGCCTTAGTTCTGTGCAGAATTGCCTTTAACAGAACTAAAGTTTAATGCTATGCTTTCTGCTATTATGAATGCTTGCTATAAGAAATGACCATTGGAACAGTGTTTCTGCATGCCCTGTAAAATGAATGTAGAGGACATAGTCCTCTTTATTACCCAGTATTCCCTATGTAATTACCCTTATAAAAATGTCAGTCTGAGTTAAGTCACAGGAATTTTTTTGTTATAACCAATGAGTTTGTATGCTTTCTGTTATTATAGATGGATAGTTATGCTACAATGTGTGTTTCTTTGTTGGTAGCTGGGAATTTGGGAGCCATTTATAGATTTTGCTTTATTTGACTTTATTTATACTGACTTATTGCTAAACAAATCTCTCTCTTACTGTAAGTATCTTGGAGCCAAGCATCCTGGCTATGGTTGCTAAGCCTGCATTATTCAAGCTGTGTCATTTCTTCAATAGCATTAAGTGCATGATGGGGGTTTTCCCTAAAGAAGTAGGTACCTGTAGAGTGAAAGCTTCTCCTTGCAAGCCACTATGCATTCAATTGTGTTTTCAACTCTGTTTTCATTTACATAGCTACTTACAAGTAGAGCACTTATCTAGAATAGATTTAAAGTATCATGCCTGTTGCCAAGTGTGTTAAGTGCCCTTAGCTGAGCAAGTCTTATATTTCTGTTTCTTTTTATGAACTAGGAAATGATGACAACAGTTGTTCGCCACTCTCTCGCTGTCCTGCAGAATGCACTTGCCTAGATACTGTAGTGCGTTGTAGCAATAAAGGTTTGAAGACTTTGCCCAAAGGCATCCCAAAAGATGTAACTGAACTGTAAGTATTACAAGTTGCACCCCCCCCCCTTAGAGCAGTGTATGTTTCAAGAATACTGGGAGTGCTTTTTCAACAAGCAAGTTAGCATTATTAGGCAACCCACTACACTGCTTTGCTAAATATTTTTGTGATTCCTACTTTGGCATTTTTCTTTTGAACATGGCTCTTTTGAAGCTGTATGAACATTAGACATCTACCTTTTCTACTGCTCTTTCTGGGTACTGGGTACTTTAGGGCATTTAGGGCAGGAAAACACTGGATTCAATTCGACTCTTCAAGGAATTAACTAAACAACCCACACTTTCTTGAAATGATTCTGCCTTACCATCAGTACCAACAAAGTATATTCCTTCCTGGATTACCTAAATCCATAATTTGTTTGTCAACCTTTATTGTGCCTGCACATTTTTTGTCCAGTATATGATATAAAATTGATTATCTTCAATTCTTTTTTAAAATTGCATTTTTTTGTCCATATTGCTTATTGCTATGAAATGTCAGTGCCTTGGAATTTCTAGAAAACATAATAAACATTTAAAGGCCTGGCCTGGCCTGGCCTGGCCTGGCCTGGCCTGGCCTGTCCTTCCTTTTAAGAACAATTTTATAAGCTGTATCTTGAGGGCTAACAAACGGAAACTCAATCCAGACAAAATGGAAGTGATGTTAGGGGTTGGTCTGCCTGGCCTGGAGACAGGGTTGCATTCTGGCCATTCTTTTAGATCTGATTTTGTCTTTAGACAAGTACTACTTTTTACTACAAAACAGTTTTATTGGTGGAGGCTATTGCACCAGTTGCTACCTCTTCTAGTCGTATATAGCTGGCCCCATTTGGTAATATTGTGGTTGGGATTCGGAAATGTGCTATACTTGGAATTATCTTTTGAACGCTATTTAGGAACTGGATTTTAAAATATAGTAGGAGATTGGATTGGGACTGGATAATAGACAATGGTTCTTCTTCTACCTCCTTTATGACTCTAGGATGGAGTTCACCAGGCCTGAAGATTTGTACTCCTTCAACACAATTAGATGATTCTTGACCATTGGTCAATTGAGCTGTCTTCCTGCTCCTTCAGCTTATACACCCCCTTCATCAAGAAGGTCATTAATCTTATTTAGGAAAAAAAACTGAGCCAGAGTAGGAATTGAGCACTTCTGCCTTTTATTTGTCATAATTTTACCATTCATGTTGAGTAGTTGAATCCTCATCTTCCTCTGTCTTTTACTTGGCCCATATCTGAAGAAAGCTTTTTTGTTGCTTTTAGTATCCCTTGCTAGCCCCATTTTATTCCTAGCATTGGTCTTTCTGAATCCATCCCAGCAATTCCATGCAACCTGCCTGTATTGTTCCTTTGTAGCCTAGTCTTCCTTCCACTTCCTATACGTGCTTTTTTTCTTTTCAGATCATCTCTAAGCTTTTTGTGAAGCCCCATGGGCTTCATCTGTGTCTTCTACTCTTTTTCCTATGCGGGATCCCAGAACATTTCTGAGGACAATTTGAAGTGTTGATTTTAAACTGTAACTCTTAGAAGACTTAGATCTGTTGTGTTGCATCAAATAGAAAATAATGGTTTGGTAAAATAAATTAGCTTTATTAAAGAAGTGAGCAGGTATGCATCTGGCTATTAAATTGATGATTCCTCTCATTCATTGCCCATTTTTCATATTATTCTGAAAAAAGGCCTGTAGGTTAAAAAAAAAAACCCTCTGGGGTTTTATATTTACAGGGTTATATAACTATAACCAATATTTTATTTTATATTTTTATTTCATTTTATTTATTGTATTTAACTTTAATTAAGTAACATTCCTTTGCAGTTACTTGGATGGAAACCAGTTTACCCTCGTCCCCAAAGAACTTTCGAACTATAAGCACTTAACTCTTATGTGAGTAGCTTTCAGAGCATCTCTCAATACTAATGTTATTTAAATTCTTCTATTTCATTAAATGAAATAGTTTCAAGAAAAAAATAACATGTAATGAACCTTTTAGCAATCACAACTCTAGTGCACGTTTTAGAAATGGAATACTTTTAGTCTACTGATCACAGACATTCATTAGGAAGTATGGAAACAGAAATCTCCATTATCCACTCCAGAAGATGCAGAGTCGCATAAAATGCAGTGTGGCATTTGCTGGATGTGGTTGCTTGTCATATAGATGAAGTACAGTATTTGAGAGCATAAAGGCATTTAAGTGAATTCAATTACACAGAGAAATTGGGATAGTTTGTTTGGAATAGGGCAATACAGCAATGGATGATACTGCAGCGCGAGAACAGTGAGAAATTGCAGCTCCACTTATCTTTTTTACAGTGGACTTTCTAAGAAGCATGCTGAGTTTTTTAAAAAGTAAATTTCTGTCATAACAGCAGTTCCAGTCTCGAAGCATTATATATAAATCAAAATATGTTTACATGATATGCATCTTGTTAAAACAGAATGATTAAGATGTTAGGTTTTAAAAAACGCATCTATTATGAAATGTTGCAAACGTATCTGCATTATTACAAAGATATACATTTATAATTCAGGAGTCAATAGATCAAATATACAAGTTTCAGTAAACCATAAACAAATCATATATATTAATTGAATTTGATACATTCAGATATATATAATTACATCTTTTTTGTTTTGTTTAATTTTGTTAGAGTGCATAACAGAAATAAATTAAAAACAACAAACATAGGTGTTTGTGGGGAGGGAGAGAGAAAGAGAGTGTACCCACACTACGAGTAACATTAGGAATCATCCTTATATACTGTGTTTCCCTGAAAATAAGAACGAGTCTTATATTAATTTTTGCTCCAAAAGAGGCACTAAGGCTTATTTTCAGGTGATATCTTATTTTTTCATGTACAAAAATCTACATTTACTCAGATACAGTTATGCCATCTTCTGGAACATCATCATAACTCTCCAAAGCCCAAATTGTATTGCAACAGATGTACTAAATGCGTCCGCCTGGCTGACGATCTTAACTGGGCTTATTTTTGGAGTAGGGCTTATATTATGAGCATCCTGAAAAATCATGCAAGGGAGTATTTTCTGGTTAGGTCTTATTTTCAGGGAAACGGGGTAGTTATTTGCTGTGTTTCACAAAGGCAAGTACTGGTATTATAGCAATGTTTGTGGGAACTAGACCACTATGTTCCAGGAATGACTTGGAGTTTTCTTTTATATTTGTGTTATTGCCTGGCTTTAGGAATTTTCCCCCCATTTGTTATATTTGAGTTATTTTTTGCTTTTAGTCCTATACAAGTAAAATACAAGATGAATGACCATTCAAACAAGATTTAATAATACTACATTTAGTAATAGGGTATATTTTTCAGCATGTGTTATAACCTAAAGAATTTTCAAATTTATTTTTTGTAGAGATTTAAGTAACAACAGAATCAGCACACTTTCTAACCAGAGCTTCAGCAACATGACTCAGCTGCTTACCTTGTAAGTGTATATGACTAGCAATGAAGGTTTGAAATGAATACGTTGTCATCTTTAATAATGAAGCTATCAGCTGATCTGCATTTTGGGTGTGTGGTTGTAGCAAAGAAAGCAATATACAGCCTTGAATGGACTACTTACAACTGTGTGTTTTGTGGTTTATAGTTTGTACATTAATTCTTGACATACTTTCAGAATTCTCAGTTACAATCGTCTCAGATGTATTCCAGCTCGAACATTTGATGGCCTGAAGTCACTTAGGCTGCTGTAAGTAGCAATGTCTTGCTCTTAACTTACTTGTGTATATCACATAGAGTATCAGATCTGAATTATACTGTTACTCAGGTTGGTTGCCCTTTCCCTGTAATTTTATCCCATGTTTCTATAATAGCAAAATTTGGCAATAGATGTTCTTCTGCCAGTAGCACTGGAGCTAGGATATGCAGGGTAGTTGTGGAACTCCCTTTGTGATTCATCCCACAGTGATTTTTCCATTTCATATATTATCAGATTGGTGGGTGATTCAGCCAAGATTGATGTCACCTCCATAACTCAGGTGTTATACAAACTGAGCCTTGGTATTTTCTTCCTGGGATAATTTCTGGTGCTACCAGCCTTTAACAACCTGAATATTAGTAATTAAACTGCTATTCTCCTATGCCACCTTTTTCCCTTCTAAGGCCCACTTCTGACCTCAGGGAGGTGCATAGGAGCTCTTTTCATTCAGGCCACAAAGGGACAGTGTGGGGGCTCGACCTTTGAAGTCCCAACTCCATGGCTTCAGGATCTCAGAGCTGAAACTTTAATGAATCCAAAGAATCTCAGTGCTGCCCAGATAATGTTGGGAGAACATACGATTTCATTATTTCAGTGCTACACGTAGCATAAGAACTTTAGTGCATGGTAAAATAGATGCTGACTTTATTCTAGAGTCTTAATCATAAGACACAGATTGCCAACTTTCCTGACCTACATGTCTTGCTCTAACAATAAGAGCAAAAACACAGAGACAATTCGCTAACCCTAGTCCTGTAGTGGTCCTTTTGCTTCCTCTTCTTCCTCTACATGCATCATAACAAGCAGAAGAGGAAGGTAGACTTCCATTGCATTAGGTTGAGAGATACTATATCTGTATCATGTCACCCTTTCCCCCTATATCTTGCACTCAAGCATAAGTAGAATGCAAAAGAAAATAAAACAATGTCATCTTAAATAGTTTTTTATTGCTAGAATGTTATCTTCTCAATGTTCTGGAAAGTGAAGTATTCTGCTATCCATTATATCAAATAAGAGACATTCCTAAATTTGAAAAGTAATACCTGTTCAAAGAAATCCAGCTTCTGCTGTCAGCTGGGGGCCTAGTTATGCTTTGTACTTAAGTCTAGTTGCAGAAGGTGATTGGCCAGTGCCTCACACTAATATATCAAGTGGCAATTTCATCCTTCCAGAATATGGCTCCTATTCTGCCCAGGATAGGTCCTTTATAGTAGGGGTTGCACTTCATTGCATTCTTGTATCAGGGGATTATATCAGATCACTGTGTGCCTGTTTTTTCAAACTGCATCTAAGAATTACCCAACAGAACTAAAAGGCAACTTGCGTGTTATATATGATATATATATGTACCTTGGTATGTATATATTTGATGTTATGAAAAATATTATGTTATGAAAAATATTGTGTATGCATGTGGAAACTGCTGCTTTGATTGAAATGTTGTTGAATATTTTAGCATTATTAGAGATTATACTACAGCATTCCAGTTAATTTATATTCACCGCTTAGGAGTGTCTTTTTTTGTCCGAGTGGCATTAAATCTTATGATTGACTATCACTCAGAGCTGAGCTTCTCCACTCTTTCTGCTCCCATGTTTAGAATTTTTCCTGTCTCCTTCATTCTCTTTGCTGATGCTCGTATGGATGAGGAAACACTTGGTTGTGTCATATTACATATTTTGGCTTCCTGCACATGGGGCAGATGGGATGAGATGTTGGGCTGCTGCTTCTGGTAGAGGTCACGCAGCAATCATATCATGTTCTTGTCTCTGAGAGTAAGAATTATTTTCTGCTCTGATTAAAAGTAAATTTAAAGTAAAAGTATAGCAAATGGGGCAGGCTAGAAATCAAATAATAAATAATGAAATAAATAACTTATACAAGGTGTTCTGGGGAAAGGACTGAAATTGGTAAAAATATGTGTACATGTTTGCAAAGGTACTATGTTAATTTGATTCCATCAAATAAAGAACAACCTCTAAATCTGCTTCTATGTACATAAATATTTCTCCTTTACATAGGTCTTTACATGGCAATGATATTTCTGTTGTTCCTGAAGGTGCTTTTAATGATCTTTCAGCATTATCCCACCTGTGAGTATTCAGTCCATAAGCCAATTATATAATTAATATTCTGATTTACTGGTTAGAGAGATTTTCATCCTAATCCTAAGCATTTGTATTGGGTAGTGAAACACTGGATGTAATTTGCTTACTCTGTGCATAGGTATTAGTTTTTAACTCTGCATTGCTGCAGCAGTTGGATACCATTATTTTAAGAATGTGTTTGCCTATGCAATATGTCTTGTACTTGGGTAATATAATGGTCTGACCATATTAAGACCATAAGCAATTCACTGGAAAGGGTGGACAACTTAAGTTATTATATTATAACTTAAGTTATTATATAAAGGGGAATAGGCTATAAATAAACATTTGTGTTTGACTTTCTCAGCTTTTCAGCAGTCTCTCATATATGATGCATAAGTTAGTATTTACAATGATTTATAAGATAGCCTTTACATTAATGTTCTAATTGTGCAAGCCATGCTTAGGAATGCACAGAGAGCCCTGTAGAAATCATCACTGAAATTGCCAAACATCTCAAGGTTCTCTCAGCCCTCTTAAACAGCTTAGTGGATGCATACAGTGTGTCATGTATCTCAAATTGTGGTCTGCCGGATTATGACTGGATTCTGTGGCAATGATTTACTTGTTACCATGTCTTGCCAAGCATGCTCTGTAAATCGACTGGTTTCCCACTGTTGCAAGCCTTTATTTGAATTTCTGAAGTTTGCAACTACACTGACTAACAGTGAAAATGTTTGCATTAGAAATCATCTTTTCTCTAATGAGTGGTTTTCTTGATTCTATCTGTTTGTTGGCTCACACTCATGATATCTACTAGTTATATTGTATTTCATCTTCATCACCAAAGGACTTTGTGGAGAGAGCAGGCTTTTTATTTCCTCTTTTTATTCCATGAGGAGCCGGCATAGAATATAGCAAATATGACCAGTTAACAGGTGAAACATCTGCCAATTCTTTGTTTCCAAAGAATGCTTGGTTTCACCTCATGTAACAGAATATAGGATTTCTAATCCATGTTTTCCCTCTTCATCCCTTACTAAAGATCCTTTTTCAGTACATCTTATCTGTCGAATAACATTCAACCACATTACACTTGATATGACCAGCCAGTCTCAGAGGCCAGGCATTACATTACTCATTTCAGTACCTAATTACGTCTACTGAAGCACTAATTGTACTACACCTTCTTTTAACACATTTCCTCAAGATATAATTAATTTGCTTCCAAACATCCTTGAGAGGTTGTAGTGCTAGCAAGAAGTTGCTAGTTTGCAGAAGTTCCAGTTTGCTTTTATGCCCCACATAACCAAAGGGTTGTATGTGTGTGACTTAAATTGGAGAGGTCTTTGCAAGACAGCAGAGAGGTGGTAGTCCAGTTCTTTGCCCTTTGATATGTCCTTCCTTGCTTGTTTTTTCACATAAGCTGAACATGTTTCAATGTCAGAACTTCCTAATGTTTCGTTTAGCTCTTTAAAGGTCAACCCTTTATAACTAATTATTCTGGCAGATGCATATCCTGAGTCCTCTGGAAGTCCATTTTGAAGCGCAGTTTTATGTTATCTTTGTTAGGCAACAATCTCAGCTTTGGAGTATCTTTTGCTGTGTTTTTGTTCAATTTAAGCTATGTGGGAAAGAGCACACACATGAAAGGCTGCTCTGTTTTTGTTCTGCAGCGCTATTGGAGCAAATCCACTTTATTGTGACTGTAACATGCAATGGCTATCTGACTGGGTAAAGTCAGAGTACAAAGAGCCAGGCATTGCCCGATGTGCTGGTCCTGGTGAAATGGCTGATAAGCTACTTCTCACTACTCCATCTAAGAAATTCACATGTCAAGGTATGATTTTCTGGAAAAAATATTCTAATGTCCATGTACGTTTTAACATTTTGGAACACAGTAGTTCAGCAGAAGGATAGTTGTTGTACCTATTGATGGATGTGTAGAGGATTCTCTTGGATTCTTATAACCCAAAGTGAGATATTCCATACGCTTATCTAAAGCGTTAGTAATATGCAGTTTCTTGATGTTCACAACTGGTGAAGCACCTAACTTTAGTACCACACCAAGGATTATTGCTGTTCTGCATTTTTCATAAATGAACTAGTGCATATCAGACAACATGCTGAGAAAAAGCCAGACTTGCCAATGAATGTGTACTCAACAAGATCAGAATCAGAATTTGAGTGTACTTGGATTATTCATACATTTATAAGCACAGCACACATTCAGGAGGTACACTCAAGAATATAATATGTGAAGTAGCACTCACATAAGGTCTGGATACCTGTAAATTCACTGTTCTAAATCTCAGTCACTGTTCTCAGTCTTATTTGTTTTACTTTAAAAAACCCCAAAGAATAGAAAAGCTGGTATCTGTTACAATTGATGTCTCTGAGAAAAACAAACTTGGCTTTTGATGCTGTCATGGTCTTCTGAAATACCTATGTGAAATCAATTGTTTTGAAATAACTTTATTACTTAGTTATTTTGTTAGTCAAGTGACAGTTCAAGGAAGAGACAAGTGGTGGGAGCTTTTCAAAGTATATATGTTTTTAATAGTAGGATTGGTTTCTTGCAATGACTAAAAATTCCAGAACCCTTGAGTGTGGTTATTCTTTGGTTTGGCCTTGTTTACACACCTAGAATAAATGAAGCATCTTGTTACCAAAATCTCTCAAAAATCTTTCTTTGATTACAAATGAAAAATATTATTACCAAGGACAGTAGTGTACAATCAAAAAAATAAAAATGACCAGTTCAAAGAACATTTGCTAAATTTCCTTCTGAAGTGAAAGATTCTTTATAAATTATCAACTAGAAATACTGTCCGTATAGAGCATATTTCAACCAATACCATTTTTCCTAGAATATTCACCCAGTACAACATTTCTTTTGGGGTGTCATGTCTTAATGGATTTTCCATTTTTTTTCACTCTGGCATTTTACAATCCACACCCTGCTTCTAGAGATACCAGGGCCTTGTGGTTTTCTTGTACCAGGTAAGAATGTAATGGACCCTTATTTGGATTTCTGTGCAAGACAAGACCTTCCAACATTCCCATTGTGTTTCTCAAGCAAACTTTTTCCCAAAAGATATGCATGTTATCATTGGTTGCCCTGCTCTTTGCTTGAATAATTTTTATGGAATATTCTTTATTGTATGTTATAGCATATGCACTTCCTGGCACTCTAGATTATATTTTGAACTTTTAAAGCTGTAGAAAACTTATTCAGTTAAATTATAATAGTTAATTTAACTGTCTCACTGTATAATACCATCTCCCTATATTCTTCAGTAATTCTTCAGTGTTTGAGTTTCCCTATCATATCCCTTCCTTTTAACTGGAAGCTTGAGAATTCATATTGGTGAGCCTTACAATTCCTTGACAACTTGTCTTCATTCTTTATTTTTTTTAAAATCTTACTATCTTCCTCTCCCACTCCTACGTTTGACTGTGGATAGAATCTTCGTCCTGTCCTTTCTTTCTTCTGTTGAGTTTTCTACCTTTGTTTTTTTTTTTTAAATTATGGCATTAAGGAGCAATGCCCAGCTCAGAAGTCAAAGTATATTAAGTTTCTGAAGCAGAGGTAGTAAGTACTTGTAACAGTAACATACGTTGACGTAGCACACAAACAGAATTAAATTATCTCCTTCCTTTGCTGAATGGGAAGAATAATGTAATTTGTAAACAGTCACATCACATGATTCTTTGTACACATACTGGTTCAGGGTTTGCACACCTGTCCCATCAATATCACAGGAATTAGCCTATTTCCATGATGCCAGTCAATCAATACTTTTTGCTGCTGTCCTTCCATTCTGCTCTCTTCTTTTCCTGCCATCCTTTGATTCATTGATTTTATCTTTCAAATTCATACTAAGGTTTGATCTTACCTCTGCATTTGGTGTGGCTTTCAAGCTTTCCAAGCCCATCTCTTCCCTTTGTTGCTGTTCCCATTTTACTGGGTATTTATGAATGAAGACTAAAGAAAATACTTGTTGCATCTCTCCTTCAGAAATGTCACTTTTATTAAAGCATTATCAAGCAATTCTGCTCTCATTGGCTCCCTTGGTCATACTGCTTGTTGAAACTTTTGCCTTAATCTTTTTGCCTTTAACACCACCCTGAACTATACGCCTTATTTCACTGCTAAATAGCTGATAGACTTCAACATTCATTCTCATCCACCCTTCTCCCCTTCTTTGTCTGTGTTCCTGCCTTGCAACTTGTCTTCCCTTGTCTTGCAACTGACCTCTGATAATGAATTCCTTTGACATCATCCCCTATGATTTTTCCATCCATCCTGAGGTACTGAAATTAGTGAGAAAGAACCTGTTCTGTGTTCACCAGTTTTTTGCAGCAAATAAGCACCTTTTGGACTAGCACAAAATTTTTCCATCCTCACAATCTTTTCCTAATCTACCCAGCCCTTGTTTTCTTTCTTTTTCCTTTAGGACAGATGTAGTAGTTGCTCAGTATCTGTTACCTTCATTCCTTCACTGCTATAATATTTCTCTTGATCTCCAAGAAAGCTCTAATCCATTCGGTTTATTACTAGGGGCACACATCAACAGTAAGATTCAGTTCAGTCCCTCATTCACTGATTTGGAAAACAAGAAGCAGCCATGCTGGGAGCAGAGTGCTTGAGACGACAGCAAATAGGAAGATACTGTTGTAGAAATGAAAGGACTCTACTACTTTTTTCCTTTCTTAGTTTTCTGGTAAAAACTAAATCCATCAACAATCCCCTCTCCCTAGCAACTCTTCAGATGCAACACATAGGTGTCTAGTTTGGTCAAGCGTACCAGCTAGTTTTTCTTGACTTATTTATTTTATTGATTAAAATAGATATTCCTAAATTTCTAATATGCACCATTAGCAACAAAGCGCCTATGCTTTGTTTACAAAAACAAAAACCCCAACATTATCATAAATTAATCAAAAACAGTGATAAAACTACAAAGGCAAGCATTATTTAAAAAACTAAAAAGTTTCAAAGGCCAAGAAAATATAACCATATCTTTTCTGATATTGTAGGGGTAACAGTGTCAGCATAATGTAAGTCTCCCTGAATGAGGAAATTCAGAGGTGGGTGCCACAACTGAGAAAACACCCTCTCTTTCAAATTTACTATCCACCACTGTTCAGTTAATGGTGGCACTCCAAGGAGAGAGCATAGTGCATGGACAGGTTGATGTGGAATCAGGCATAATTTCAGTTACCCAGTTCCCAGCATTTTGAATTCTGCTTAGGCACAAACTGAGAGCCAGTAAAGCTCTTGAAGCATTAGTGTAATGTTTTCCCAGTGCCTGGTTCTACTAATTATGAAATATAGCAGCTAGAACTACGGTTTTCAAGCAGTCTGCAAGGTCAGCTTCACCCATGTGCATTGCATTCCAACAGTTATGCAGCATGTCAGGCCTGGGATGGTTGTCTGGGGTCCCCAATCTGATTTTCAGCAGCCCTGGCCCACATTCTTTCCCCAACTACCAATCTTTGGATGGTTGACTTTTGTACAATTTCCCCCCAATTTTCCCCCAATGTACAATTTTGTACAATTTTCCCCCAACTACCAATCTTTGGATGGTTACCTGACTTTTGTACAATTTTTCCCCAATGTACAATTTTCCAATGGTTCTCATGAGGCTTAATTACTAAGAGTTTTAAATTAGAATATACTTTAAGGTGGAATGTGTCAACACTGATAGGACCTTTGAACTTTGGGGATTGGACAATATGGAAAGGAAACAAACAAACAAAATGAGCTTCAGCTGAAGGCAATCTATAAAATCAATCAATCTTTGAATTAGAATACTTTCATTTTTGGCCCCACCCCATTTGTTTTCAGCCCCACCAACCATTGAAATGAGTTCCCCCACCAGTTCCTATGAAACTTAATTCAGCCCTTGGAGTGAAAGAAATTGTTCACCCCTGTGTTACAGTGTCAATTCTAGATGCCATAAGAGCATGGATTCCTTCCTATTGGCCCTAGGCCTGTGGCCTGTATATCACATGTGGGTAACCTGTGGCTGGTGAGCTCTACGTGGATTGCATGGTTCACACTTGGGCAGACATGAATGAATTTGAGATGAATCACCCATGTGGCATCTTACAATAGTTTCTTACTGTCTGAAAGGAAACTGTCTGGGTAGAACTCTGCCTTCCTTACGTCTGTATTATACATCTCGCATTATAATGGGTTTGCAGATTAACTGAACAAGTTAGTCATCCTTAACTTGACAAGCACAGGATACAAGTAACTTCTGTCTAATGAGGTATACTAAATTGTTTAAAATGTGCATAACTCTGGGATTAATATTCATGATATACTTCATGTTGTTTCATGAGAGCTTACGACTAAACTACATGAGACATTAAAAATGTGATTTAATGCCCCATATGTCTTTTTAAATTGTAACTGGCAGCTGCTGGGACAGGCTTGTATCTACAGTTCATTTATCATTTGCCTGACAATTATTCATTCAAAGCATTTAACATCATATTCTTCAACTGGAAAGGAAAGACTTTCAGAACAGTTTTCAGATAAATAAAAACAATCTAAAAGACCCAAAAGGAAGAAGATGGGGAGGGGAAAGGAAAACAAGAACCCAGGACACTGGTTTATAACGCTTTGGCATTCTTCCTGACTACACTTCATGAGACAGAAACCAATAATTACTGAAGCAGCAGCAGGTTGTCTATACTGAGGGGATCTTGTTGGTTTCAGTGAAAGCTGGATGCTTCATTGCCTTAGGTTCTGCATATGAGGGGACAGCCAGAAACAGTTATTGTAGCGTTTTAGAGGCACTCCAGCAGAAGGATCTTTTCCTTCCA